TAATTTTTCGATTTTATATATATATTTATATGACTTCAACATATAAACTAACTTACCTTTTTTATTTTTATTTCACTTTTATATTTTTTATATATTTTACTATGACTTCGACGTCATAAACCAATTACCTTTTTTATTTTTTTATTTTATTTTATTATTTTTATATATATTTTTCTATGACTTCGACCTATGTTGTAAATTTACTTTGGTTTTCTAGTCGAATATCTGATCGAATTCTACTCCCTCTGTTGGATAACTGGTCTGTTCAGGCCTCAGAAGCAGCTTCTGCTGTGTATTTCTGACTTCCTCCTGTTGCTATCGGCCGGATCTTTACCCGAAACGCCAAATTACGCGCGTTCTTCCTCCTCCACAGCAGGAAGTCCTTATAAGGACGCAGACCTCCACAGCAGGAAGTCCTTATAAGGGCGCAGAGAGCTGGTGGTAAAACACCCCGACCTTTCACCCAGGCACCACAATTTCCCCGTCTGCACAGAAAGAAATAAAAAAAAGAGAGAGCTAGTGATCCTAAAGAGGCTGTTAGTAAAGTGGGGTTTTCTTTTTCTTTTTTTTTTTGGAGCGACTATGAAAATATTTGTGTTCCGGGAGTTCTGGGAAAAGAGTTGGATTTGCATTTGTTTGCTGTTGTTTATTCAAGTAGTCATGTGAGGTTAATGTGTTTAGTGAAACTCATCTGGGCTTCCTGTACAAGACTGAACCTTTAAATACACACACACACACACACACACACACACACACACACATACACAAACACATACACACACACACATACACACACATACACACACACACACACACACACATAGTCCTGTTTGCCTTACTTCAGAGGACACTAACGTCCAATGTATTATTACATTGGACGTTATATGTTGCTCATTGTGGTGAATGGTGGCTTCTTTTGTCTCCAAACGGGGCACTAGTACTTTATTTATATATATATATATATATATATTTATATGTATATACAGTAGAACCTCCACAGAGTCTAACTGGTTCCAGGAGCGACTTCCGTGTTAAATATTGGTATGTTGGTTCAAATCTTCCATCAGAATACTCGGTAATTCATAGAATTGGTTCCAAAAACCTACAATAACTCCTTAATAAATACTGCAGATAATTACACATAGAAAGAAAACAAATAACTTCTAGAAGAGAGATGGAAAAAGAAATAAATGATAAAGAAATAATCACTGAAAAGGGTTTTTATTGTCCCTTTAGCTCAGAGACTGAAGAACGGAGGTAGAGGTGGAGACTGAGATACAGGACCAGCCCTAACTCACTCTGACTTTAGACACGAACTTTAAACAAACTTAGCTTACGTACTTTTATTTAATTTTAATTTTTTTTCTATATTTGTCTGTCTTCGACTTCATAAACTAACTTAGCTTTTTTATTTTTATTTTATTTTTTAAATATTTTTCTATGACTTCGACGTCATAAACTAACTTTGTTTATTTTTAATGTCATTTTTATATTTAATATACAATTCTCTATATTTACTTCAATAACCGAAAATTACTTTGTGTGACGAGTGGAATATTTGATTAAATTTCACATTGATTGTTGGAAAATTTGTTTTTTTTTTAAATAAAAAAAAAGAATAATAGATTGCTAATAAATGTATTATTCTTATTCAGGGCTTTGTGAGGCAGCCTGACTGTGAAGTTGCTCAATAGCTTCCCAGATAAACCCGCCACCATAACAAAGGTCATCTGTACTCAGGTCCTCCTCATTTCCCTCTCTGGGTTTTTAAAACAGAAGCCCAAACCAGCTCAAGCAAGTCAACCGACCAAAGAAAAATAACACAAAATTTAGATGATTTTTTTTTGTTTAGTCTCTTTCAAAGCTTCTATTTTAGACAAAATTGGGACTTGTGGCCATTTCCCTTTAGAGAGAAGTCACTGAAATAATCAGAAAACTTTGATTTTAAGGCCGTAGGGTTTATTGGAATCTACTAAAAGTCTGTTTTCTCTCCTTTTTAAATAAGAAATTCACTCAAGGCGACGAGTCCAGATAAAAGAAGCCTTTGTAAGTTCTGCCTCGGCATAAAATCCAAAGAAAAATTCCCCAAATTGTGCAGAGAAAAATTCACTTCTAAAATAACTGTAGGTTATATGAAATTAAATGGAAATATAGAATGAAGTTAATCAATTGAAACCAGACATGATGGATTTTTTGTGTCCCCATGTCAGTAGAAATTAGTCTTAATAAATCATTAACAAGCTAAATAAATCATAAATAAGCTAAATAAATCATAAATAAGCAATTTTATGCTCATAAGAGGAGAAATAAAAGAGGATAAAAGGCTTTCAAGAACTGAAACACACTAAATCTGATGCATATAACCCTAAAAAGACATCTTCCCCGAGTTTATTAAATTTTTTTCCCCCGTCTTTGTGTAAATTTAGATGTTAAATTAGGTCTATATGGTATGTTGTAGAAGGTCTATTTTAAATATTTGAAATATTTTAAATTCAGCCCCTAGTATGACATCATCACCAGTAAAAGGCACCTGATTAAAACAAACTAATAAATGTGTTCTTACTCTTTTCAGATCAAACACAGAAATAGAATTCTTTGAGATATATAGAATGGAAAAACAGTCAGGTTCCAGTCTTGTTGTGTAACTATTTTAAGTTTCCATTTGACATTTGATCTCCATTTGATTGGTTTTCTGGTTCTTGTTCCCTTTAGAGAGATTTGGACCCGGTGCATCCTTAGACGTTGAACTCTGAATTTCTCACGTTTTATACTCAGACTGGTCCAGTTTTTATTCAGAATGGTTTGACTTAAGCTCTCTTGTTGGAACAGGGTGTGGAGCTCTGCAAACACTCGCTTCCTGAGGGCTCATTTGCATATTTGGGGAGAAATTTGTTGTAGAAAATGCAAATTACAACGTGATTCTGTGTTTTTTTTCTGTTTTTTTTTCCTTCTATCTCGCCACTTTGCCTCCAAATATTCATCCATTCAATTTTTTTTACAGATATCTGACAAAGCCAGAAAGCCCTGTAGTGAAATGGATTGAAGGTTTTTGTAGTGTGGACTTTTTTGTTTGTTTTTGTTTGTTTGTGTAAATTAGCCTTGAGCACACACTCAGGATGGTTCATGGAGTTAAAACAAAGCCTAGAAGGCAGCCTGTGGGCAGTGAGAACAATCTGACATATTTAGTGATTCCGGTCGGATTATTTCTGATTATTTATTTAATTTCATTATTTATTTCTAACTTTTTTTGTTGCTTTTGTTCAGTTTTTAGCTTGTTTTAGCTAGTTTTTTCCCTTAAACTCGTCCTGACTCGTGGTCAGTCTGTCTTCCGTGAAAAATTCAGCTATAATTCTAAAAACAAGTGCATGTAAAATTGAAAATAGAGAGCAGGGAGAATAATTAAACACACATAAATTAATGTAAAATATCTAATTTGGGTTTATGACCCCGAGGAGAAACGAGGGATGGATGATAAAGTTGGAGATCACTCAGATGAATGGGTGTTTTTTTGGGGTGTATTTTTAATGGAGTTTTCTAGTTGTGGTTCTCTTTTTCTGAGGGGTTTGTTTTGTTGTTGTGTTTTGTTTAGAGGGCGTATTTTTAACTCATTGACTGCCAGTCATTTTCAGAACAGAGAGTCGCTCACTGCCAGAGTTTTTTGAGCATTTTGACTGATTTTTCAAGAGCCACAGAATAGTTTGTGCTATGACTATGTAAACACCGAACACACCAAAAGAAAGAGTAGACTCTCTTCTTTCATCAGGAAAAAAAATGTGTTTCTACCTTATTCCGTTCTTCCTGGACTTGCGTCTCACCGGCGACATGTTCTCTCATAGAACCGTTCCCTTTTTCTTATTTGCCTACAGTCTATGCTCATCTCCCATCAAAAGTGGCACTGCCCCCTAGAGGGTCAATTTGTTACTACATACTCTGTCTAGAAGCCCATATTTACGGAAAAACTTTCGCCGATCGTCCCCCAAGCCACTCGCATTGAAAAACATAAAAGACCTCTATAGACGTCTTTGGCAGCGAATGAGTTAATGGAGTTTCTAGTTGTGTTTCTCTGTTTCTGAGGGTGTGTTTGTGTGTTTTGTTTTGTTTAGAGGGCGTTGTGCGCAGTAAGAGGCGCTGCGTGCTGACGAAGAAGCAGCCCTACAGCGGAGACGAGTGGTGCTCCGGGCCGGATACGGACGACGAGGACAAGCTGCACGCCAACGCCCAGCGTGAGTCCACAAACACCCAAAAAAAAAAAAAAAACCTCCAAAAAACCTCAAAATTACCTCCCAAAAAAACTCCAAAAAACCTCCAAAAACCTAAAAAAAAACTCCAAAAAACCTTCAAAAAAACCTCCACAAACCCCCCAAAAAAACTCCAAAAGAACCTCCAAAAAAACTCCACAAAACCTCTAAGAAAACCTCCCAAAACACCTCCAAAAAACCTCCAAAATACCTCCCAAAAAAACTCCAAAAGACCTCCAAAAACCCTCCACAAACCTCCAAAAGACCTCTCAAAAAAACTCCAAAAGACTTCCAAAAACCCTCCACAAACCTCCAAAAAACCTCAAACAAACCGCCCAAAAAACATCCAAAGAACCTCAAACAAACCGCCCAAAAAACCTCCAAAAACTTTAAAAAAAACCTCCCAAAAAACCTCCCAAAAAACCTCCAATAAAACCTCCAAAAAAATAAAAAAAAACTCCCAAAAACCTCCCCAAAAAACTCCAAAATACCTCCAAAATACCTCCAAAATACCTCCCAAAAAACCTCCAAAATACCACCCAAAAAACCTCCCAAACAAACCGCCCAAAAAACCTCCAAAAACCCTCCACAAACCTCCAAAAGACCTCCCCAAAAAACTCCAAAAGACCTCCAAAAACCCTCCACAAACCTAAAAAAAACCTCCAAAGAACCTCAAACAAACCGCCCAAAAAACCTCCAAAAACTTAAAAAAAAACTCCCAAAAAACCTCCAATAAAACCTCCCAAAAAATCCCCAAAAAACCTTAAAAAAAACCTCCCAAACAAACCGCCCAAAAAACCTCCAGAAAACTCCAAAAAAACTCCAAAAACCCTCCACAAACCTCCAAAAAACCTCCAAAGAACCTCAAACAAACCGCCCCAAAAACCTCCAAAAACTTAAAAAAAAAAACTCCCAAAAAACCTCCAATAAAACCTCC